TTATACTGTCTTGCTTAGGGAATAATGGCAGAAAGAAATTTTTCCCAAATATTTCCAATCTGCAGTTGGTTGACTCTGGCAGTGGAGCCCACGTGTAGGCAGGCCTGCTGTCCGTGGATACGCTGGATTGCGTCGTGTGAAGGACTTTTGTTAGGTGTACAGGTGTGACCCACCCTTCCTCGCTCTGTCAGGTGTCACAGCAGCCTTGAACACACTGAAGCCACAGTATCCCGACTGTACCAAGGCCCTGCTCACAGGACCACCATTGGTCAGTTCTGGCTGATACCACTGAGGGGCTTAGACAAAGCAGTGAACAAAAAGAGTATGCTTTAGAAGGGCATCTTCGGGCATGGCTTCACAGAGAGAAAATGTGTAGGGGCACGAATGAAATGTACTAGGTGAAAAATTAAGCCCTGAATTAAGTCACTGGCAGTAATGAGGCAGCAACTGCAACCCTTTTCTTAGTTCTGACTGTGTACCGACATTTCCAATGCATTTCTTACATTAACTCACTCATTCTCACACAAAGTAGAAAATGTGGGCACTGTGCCTACTCCCCTTTTGCAGTGCGGGAAACTGTGGTACTGGTTCAGTCACATGACCAGGATGGGACAGAGCTGAGGTTCTCCGGGGCCGGTGGTGCCCGGCTTGTTGCTGTGTACCATCAGACACAGCTGAAAGGCTCTGAGTAGAAGCAGGGGAGTCGAAACGCGCAGGAGGAGGCCACTCCTTGGTCTGTTGTCAGACATTTTCCTGCTTCCCCTTTAAATTCAGCTCCCTCTTCTCTTCCCCGCAAGATGGGCTGTGTCAGGCGTTCGGCTCTGCCTCCTCCACAGTTCCCCAGGCAGGCACTTCGGCTGTTTGTGCTTTGAAGATCCTACTGTGAAACTTCTACAGGGATGGCTTTCATTCACAGAAGAGGGCGATGGCTTTTTGATGGGAACTAACTGCGCTGTGTTCACTTGATCTTCCCGGCAGTCCTTGGAAAGGAGCTCACAGTTACCCCCTTTTCACGGAAGAAGCTCAGCAACATTCAAAGTTGTCTAAGTTCCCTGCTCATGGGAGTAGAAGAGCCAGTATCAAATCAGGGTCTCTGAGATGCCAGAGCTCCTGTTATTTTCAACTATTACAGAATAAGAACCTGAAATAGCTTTGAAATATCCAAGAAAAAATGTCCATGCTGGGAGAAAAATCCAGTTGAGAATTAATAATCCTAAAGCTCGGGTCCTCTCAGCTCATGGAGCTGTGTACCCAGAAATCCGGAGTCCTCCGTGTCCTGACCCCTTGGCCTTCCTGGTTAGTAATTGACTTCTTGTTCACCACAAATCCCGTTGGATTTCCCAGAAGCTACAACTGCGCCATTGAGTTCTCCAGACTTTGTCCTTCCACCCCAAAGGTCTAGTTCCTGTCCCTGAGAGACACCCCTCCTAGCGGGTGGCTTCCCAGCCAGCTGCAGCACAGGGCTTAGCATGGGGGGCACTGGTACCTCTTGGGGTCCTTCGCCTGAGTGACTCTTACATTTGCCTCATGCTGGAAGTGTCCTTCGGGAATTTCCACATGGAAATTTAACACAGTTTAGCTTCAAGAGAAACCACAAGAGAATTACTGAGTTTTCCTAAAAGAATGGTTGATATATTTTCATCTCTTAATTGGTCTCTGATTCAAGGTAAATGAGGCTGCAAAAAAAAAAAAGTCTGCAAAAAAAAAAAAAGGTACAGTGATGAGCACGCGTACAAATGTGTTTGCCCCAGCAGTCAGTACCTTTTTGCTCTGCAGTGCTGAGGACAAAACCCCGGGCCTCACACATGCGAGGTAAGCGTTTTACCCCTGATCTACATTCCAGCCCCCATACCCCTGGCTTTTAGAGCCAGCTGAACGCTTGACGTCCAAGAAGACACCTGGGAATCTGCAGGCTCTGTGGCTGGCGCCACCATTTTTCTTCTTTTGCTTTTTACTGCTTTCCCAGACTCACTGTGGGGTGGTGCTGCTGTCCTGTCTGTCTCGTTCCTGTGTAGGAAGGGTGATGCCCCCGTAGGCCTGCATCAAGGTAGAGGGAGAAACAGGATAGGCGCTGACCCGTGACGGCCAGGAGCTGCCCTCCCGCTACAGCAGTCTACTGTCAGGAGCAACATCCCTGTCCTCTGTTCCGCACAGCCGACCCTCCTGGAGGGGCTCTGTCTCATTGCTAACAGGCACAGCCTCTAGCTGCAGGCTCTGGACCTGTGGCTCCACTATCCTCAGATTACAAATACTTGAAAACAATGGTGTCCGTGCTGAGCATCGACACACTCCATCTTCCTGTCAGTGTTGCACAGTCTGTAGCGTAGCGGCAGTGTGCGTAGCACTTGCACTGTATTAGGTATGAATATATAGGCCCTTCATTGGTTATCTGCAGGTGATGTGTGCAGGTTAAGTGCTACTACTGTGCTGTTTTATAGGAGGGGCTCGAGCATCCGTGAAGGTAGATTTTGGTAGCCACAGGGGTCTGGACACCAATTCCTCACAGATACCGGGGGACACCTGTGCCAAGATGGAGCCAGCTCTCGCTGTTCGCACTTACTTCCTCACTGCAGCGTTTCATAGGCTTCACTCTCCTGATTCCTACACGCGTCTGCTAAGCACAGAAGAAGGATGCAGGCTGCTGTCCTCCCATGGCCAGCAGGGGAGGCACTGTCTCCACCGCCTTCAGGTCATCAGAGAAAGGGAAGAGCCCATCTCAGGAGGGTCTGCCTGGCAGAGCAGCCTGCAGGTCCACAGCATCTTTCCCTCCCCATTCACAGATAAGGAAACTGAGGCACAGAGTGATTAAAGTAACTTTCTGAATCACAGGACAGGGTCTTACCCACAGCCAGGACTCTGCCCCACCCACCTGCCCTAGAGCTCCCACGGGGAGCCACATCCCATGTTTTGCTGAGTGGAGCAGAAAGACAGTGTCTGCCAGGTTCTTCCTCTGGGTTCGCTGGCCTGGTTTTTAGCTAGATTCCATATAAAGTTATTGAGGCCCCACTTGCTGTGAGGCTCTGACATAACTAATCTGTGTGCCACATAAAGTGAAGCAAAGTTAGAAAACTGACACCGATTTCCGTCTGCCTCCACTATGAACAGCAAACAAAACTCACCAGGAGGTGAGCTTCTGAACTCACCAAACTCAACAAAATTCACCAGGAAGGTGAGCGTCCGGAACCAATAGGGAATTGTGACTCTACCTGTTAGGCTGTCAGGCCAAGGAGCAGGTCTGAGCAGGGACAAAAAGCCATTATCTACAGCTCTAAGCCCGCAGATTTCCTACCCACTAACCCAAATGAAATGTTGGGTACAGTTAGCCTTAGAAAGAAACACTAGCAGTTCACTAGCAGGCCTCACATTTTTGGAGTAAAGTTTGCAGAATGGCCCAGTCAGGCCTGCGCTCCTCAGAAACCATAGAAGCATCCCTTTCACCCCACCTGTCTCTGACTTCTTCTAAACATTGGGGTCCTGAGGCGGGGATTTAGCTCAGCGGCACAGTGCCTGCCTGGCAAGCACAAGGTCGTGAGTTTGATTCCCGGTACTGGAAAAAAAACCCAATAAATAAATAAATAAATGTTGGGGTCCTGTGGATGTTTAAAAGAAAGGTTCCACCACTGAAAAGAACATTAGGTTGTTGTTGTGTGTTTTTGTTTGTTTGTTTGTTTTGGTGTTGGGAATGGAATGCAGAGCCTTAAGCATGCTAAACAAGTATTCTACCACTGAGCTATACATCTAACATCAAAAATAATTTTCAAAAGGATGTAATTTTTCAAAAACCAAAAGGTTCACTTTTAATATATTTAAAACATTTGACATGGGGGAAACATGCTATGTTCCGGGCCCTAATCTAGTGAGGAAAAGAGGAAAGCTCTGCCTTTGTGGGCCTTTTAGCACTTTTCCCTTACAAGGTATAGGTTTGTGTGGAAGTCACTGAGCTGTATCAATAGTGCTAGTGAAGAAAAGCTCAGAGAACAAATGTAGCTATTAGTATGTTTCTGACCCTCATACAGAGCTTGCTTTGTGTCAGATCTTCATCTCATCCCCAAAGTGAAACAGCTCCTTCCTGTCAAGCTCTCCATGTCTTCCTCTAGAGCAGAAGACCAAGTCCTTACTGCCTGTCTTGGAGCCACGAACCAATGGGCAGCAGTGTTGCTGTCACCTGCAGGTGTCGTTGGGCACAGAGAGAAGACTTAGAGAACTCCTGGATGCTGCCATGAGCACCACACGGACCATGTCCACACACCCCAGTGGGCTGGGCCTGTAACCGCCATTTGTAAGGCACATGTCACAGGCAGCCTCCAACACCTCAGGGGATGTATGTGACTCAGTGAAGTTCTTCAAACTTCAGTCCAAGAAATAACTTTGTTATGGGTTATAGGATTACACATAAAAGTCTCCAACTTTTTCCATTGCTGTGTATATACCATGAAATAACTGGCTAATGAGACTATAAAAGCTAAAGAACTGTAAGTCCTTCCAAATTTCAATCCCAAAGTAGAAAGTTTAGAAGGTATCTGACACTTAATTCTTTATCTTTGTATTGGTGAACTTTCTGTTACGACAGAACAGGAAACACTTGAGAGAAATCAAGCTGAAAGAAGGGAAGGCTGTTGGTCTCACTCAGCTTGAAAGGTTCTAGCCATAATCATTAGACCTTGTTGCTTTGGGCCTGTGGCAAGGCAGCACATCATGGTGGAAGCACATGATGGAGAAATCTACTCACCTCGTGGCAACCAGGAGGCAAAGAGAAGGAGCCGGAGTCCCAACCTCCTCTTCAAGGCCACGCCTCCAGAGACCTCACATCCTTTTACCAGGCCCCACCTCCCATAGTGCTACAGGCGGGGACCAAGCCTTCAGCGCATGGGCCTTTGGGGACACTGAAGATCGCAGTTCTAGCAACATTCAGAGCAGCAAATATGCAATGGTCTCTGAGTGGTGTGCACAGCAGCCTAACAATGGCCTTCCCCAGTGATGGTTTTCTTTTTCCTTTGTAGATGATCATTCCCGGGTGAGGCTGCAGACAATCGAAGGAGACACCAACTCTGACTATATCAATGGGAATTACATCGATGTAAGTATTTTGAAACTGTCACTAAAGCCAGCCATTCTGATGCACGCCACCAAATTGGGTCCCTGCCATAGATGACTGGATGTATGTCATTCTGAGCCTGAAAACAAACACAGGAATATCGCCCAGACCTATTTTAAATTCCTCTGTAACATCATATACCTTCTTTGCCATCTCATGCTTCTACAGACTAAGAAAAGGTTATTTCCATTTTTTTTTTGTCAACAACTTATAATTATCTGACACTCTTAAAAAATCTGTTTGCATATTAATAGGACAAAACTCTCTAATTCCTAATGCGGTGGTTTGCTGTCTCTTGTCATCAGTGCACTTTTAAGTTGCCTTCAAAGTCATCTGCAGCTGTTCGCCAGGACTTCCAGTGCAAGCAAGACATGTCATTAAATATGTAGGCTGTTCAATTATTGAAGACGGCCTCTTTGTTCATTCTGCATCATGTTAACTTAATGTCTTACATTAGGATAAATTCTTCAGGAGACAGCATGTTTTCAGTTGAAAGAATGAATGAAATCAAAAGTAGCCCCAAAAAATCAAGGGGAAGCTGTGGTTCCCTGCAAGGCCTGAGTCTACATGAAACAGATTTCAGCTCCCTGTGGTTCCCAAGACACATGGTTTCTTAATCCACCAGTACTGGCAGGGATTGTTTTTACACACGTGGAAGTGAAGTGTCTCTAATCCCCAAATCCAAATGCTCCAGGACCTAAAACTTTTAAGCACCTGTAGGATGCCACAGGTGCAAAAATTCCACATCTGACCTCCTGTGACAGGTCACAGTCAAAACCCAGGTGAACACACAGTTTATTCAGAGTCCCCAAGGGGAAAAGACTCCTCCATGCTATGTTGCTTCTACTGTGATACACAAACTTTATTTCAGGCACAAAATTATTAAATTACCTCCAGGCTGTGTGTAGACACTGTGCAGGAAGCAAAATGAATTTTGTGTTTAGACATGAGTATGTATGTGACAAGCATCTATTCCAAAATCTGGGATCCAAAATCCTGGTCTCGAGCATTTCAGGAAGGAATATGCAATAGATATATGGATTGTTTTATTTTCTTGATTGACTATGAGTCAGATACTAAAGAAAGATAAACTAGAGGCTTTTATAGGTAAATGAGTGCAACTAGAGACCATACTCATAAGTGAAATAAATCAGACTCACATGTGTAAACATCGTATTGTCTCCCTAGTGTAAGAAACTGAAAGGATAAATAAGATCCAAAAGGTACAATAGATACTGTGAAAGGGAAAGAAACTGCTCAAAAGGAAAGAACAACTGGGATGGGAAAGAAGAAAAGGAAGGAAGGAAATA